TTTACAAGGTTTAACTCATAATAATTTCATAATTTCTTAATTCTTCGAATGATGCTTTTAATTGATTCCTCATTTTCACTATAATAAACAAATTATGTGATTATGCTTTCTATTACAAAACTGTAAAACGTAGTTAAAAAAGTATAATCACAGATTGATAATAATTATTAATATACCTTTCCTATTTTTAAAGCAAAACTAATTTATTGTAAAAAATAAGAATTTGATCTGTAATATTTATAAGTAATTACCATCTTAAATGATTTTTTAAAATATATAACAATTTTCTGTTGTAAATCATTATTCAATTTGTCATTAATTCTATATTGGAAAATAAATCATTTCAGTTTTTATCTATTAATATGACAATAATATAATTACTTAAAAACAACGATATCGAATAAAACCAAAACCATCAAAAAAATTTAAAATTAAATATTTTATTTTTACTACTTTTAAACCAAATATTAATATTTATTTTTCTTAATTGTAAAATAGTATGAAATGAAAATAGTAGAAATTTTTTATTAATGAAAAATTTATTTGTCTATAGATAGAAAGGAAAAATAATCTTTATAATTCATAAAATTTTAATTATTGTAAATATTTTCTAAACTCAACTGTATCAAATATATAAATTTAAATTAAAAATCAGATCATTGATATAAATACTTTACGTTATGTTTATCTATATATATGTAAATGTTTATTAAAATTTTGAAGGTAAAATTTATTCAAAAGATAGATTTTAAAGACGTCGATAACGAATAAAGTAAAATCGGAATAAAAAAGAAACGTTGAGAATAAAAGCTTGAAGATTTTCTATTCATATCAGCGAAATATCAATTATGAATGGAATTGTTGGATGATCTTTCTTAACACCGTCTTTAGACATATAGTTATGATACCGCAGTATGATAATTTTCAGACTCTTATACTTGATAAAAAATTATATTAATTGTGCAATATTCTTCTACTACTGTGCAATCTGTGTCGTTATATATTTGCTTACTCTTGCTGTGAGATTCTGCTCATTGTCTCGAATAAATAAGAATTAGACTACCTAAAACTTTCAATTTCGACAAGTCCAACATCTTTATTATTTAATATTAAAATAAATACTTTATAAATTAAAATATAGATAACAATAGATAGTGATGTTAATTATTAAGAATAAAGATTTAATTTTAAATTATATGGTTTGTATTTGTAGTTATCTTCTAGTTACATTTTTTTTTTTTCATTAATATAACCACAATAGTCCAGATTATTGGTTTTCTTTTTGTAATTAAAATCCGGTTTTTTATGCAATAAGTTCTTCTTTTAATATTTGTTTAATTAAATGTTGTATCCACTTAATTTATTTTTTATTTAAATAAATTATTTTATTGGTATATATAGCATGAATAAAAATAATCTGTTTACTTCAAATTATTTCAATATAATACATTTATTTCATTTTTAAAATAACTAATCTGAAGTATAAAATTCATTAAAATTTATTATTTATACTGATTTTATAATTCTAATAGCATAACTTATTTTCATTATCTAAACGTATTATTTTATTCGATTATTTAAAAAATTAAATTATCAATATTTTTACTAAATATTTTAATCGCAAATGCTTGAATTACTTAATCATAGCCATAACAAAGAATCTAAAAACTACGGAATTTGGCTGCTTTAAAAAGCATTTGAAACAGTCAAGTTGAATTAGAATTATTCATAAATTTTCAAGAAGTTTGGCCCAGTTCTATACAAACATACAAAATAATTTCTCAATTTATTTTTAACTTTTTAAAAAATTTTAATTTAAAAATCTGCACTATCAGCTATAGCAGTGATTGGAAGTAATACAACTTTAAAAACTATTGTAATCAGTCAGCAAAAAGTAAATGTATTTTTTTTAAAAGTTGTACAATATATAATTGAACTTTTCAAATTATATTTCAAATAATAATAAAATAAATCTTTAATATGAACGACTATTTTTTAAGAAAGTGGTTTGATTTTATTTTAATTAACTTATTTATAACACTTTCAGTTCGCAGGCAAAAATTTTCATGTATATTATTTAAAAAATAATTAAAAAAATTAAACTACTATTTATAATTTAATGCTATAATGAATTTAATTAAATTTAATTAAATACTATAATGAAGTTGACATTATAATGTATTTTAATAAATTAATAATATATTCACTGCTTTTTGATTATTCTGTAATCGTATATAATATTTATGCGCCTGTATCGCATGAGAAAATATTTAAAATCTAAAGGGATAATTAAATAAAAAAAAACATTTAAGCAATGTTGAATATAATACTCAATAATGAATAATAAATTAGCGACTGATATAAAAATAATGAAATAAGATAACATTTTTAATTTAGAAAAGAATGAATTGTATTCAATAATGTTCAAGATTAACAATAATATAAAAATAATACATTTATTAATTTACTACTAGGTACGCTATACAGAATATAGTATAAATATTAATTGAAATTCGATTAAGTAGCAATTAATATTTTTATACGATAAATTATTTTTTCACAGCTGCTTTTATGTACTATTATTTCGAAATTTAAGAACATATTGTATTTCAATTGTATTACCTTATATGTATTATATTGTATTACCTTATATGACCTATTTGTAACTTCTTGATTTTATGTCTATTTCTATTCGCTTATATTATTTTTCTTATTTTGTCTCTTTATCTCCTTCACTTTGTAAGTCGGTGATCTGTCCTTTTAAGCGTATTTTTTTGTTTTTTTTTTTTTTTTTTTTTTTTTTTTTTTTTTTTTGTATTATGCACACGATCTCGCACGGAATTGTCTTTCGTTGTCCGAACAGCAGAGAGGACCAAGCCGATAAACCAAGCGAATTATCTTGTCAGGTACGACTCTCGAATCGGGCATTCAGTACGTCGCTTCTAATGGATTTGTCAAGGATCTCAGAACTTAGTAGTAGGCCCTTTGTATATAGCCCACGTTTTGCTCTGAAATTCCCAATACGGTCGTAGAGAATGGGGAGCTTTATTGAGATAAACAGCAACTAGAAGATCTCAGATATTTTTTTCCTTTTCCTTTCTTTGTATTTACTCTCCTTGCGCAGACTTTCTGCACAGTCTTATAGAATTGCCAAGGTTTCAATTTGAAACTTTCTACCTATTTTTCTGCTTTTCATTATTTTTTTACTTTACTTTATCCTCAGTTGATCTTGTAGTCATAAAGAAATATATTATACTGTATAATTATAAAAGTTATTCAATTTGAAATTTCAATACTAGTATGAAATAAATTGTAAATTTATTATAAAACAACGCTATTAGAATTCTCATATAATTATTTTTCAAAGATTTTTTTGGATTAATTTTTATTCAATTTTTAATTTTCTTATATGACTTGAAGATTGAAATTTTAATATAAATTTTACTAACTCCAATGCAATTTTTATAAATCTTTTATTATTAAATTAATGTCTTCTAATATTAAATATAATGTAAAATAATTATTTTAATATTTAACATTAGAAATGCTTTTATTTAATTATAATATATTATATATTTTTTTTAATTTGAATTTATAATAAATGAATATATATATATTTATAGAATTATATATATATATATATATATATATATATATATATATATATATTATAAGTTTAAAGATTTATAGAGTTTCTTAATTTTGAATTGGGTTATATAATAATGTTAATTTATTATTCCTATATTATAAATATATTTGTTGACGGCTTAATTATATGATAGTAATATGCTTATTCAATGAAACTAAAGATACTTAATATATTCCTACATATTATATTATCTTATAAGATAGTGTAAAGTGATATAAAATTAATTTTATTTTGTTATGGATTTTTTAAACCTTTTTTTTTATTCGTATAATATAATTCATAAATTTTTTAAATATTTAAATTTTATAATTGTATAATTTCTGTTATAGGTTACATGAATGTTAAGCACAAATGAGATAGATTTTGATTAATAACAGCCGTAGCTGTCATGCATCATTGACAGTACCGTTATCATGAAGCAGATACGTAGTCAGCGACTTCGAGTATTAAAGCTGTTTTTAAAATTAGAAACAGATCTATCCAAGATATATCAACAATTACCAAAGTTACTTTTTGAAAAGCAACATATTTTGGATAAATTTTAATAAGATTACTTACTTTACATAATATACAGAAGTCTGATATTTATTACCAATCATAAATTAGAAATGTTCACGAAAAAGTTTAAATCTGCTCTTAACCGAATGGAAGAGAGATATCAGTTATTTCAATTTTTACAATTGGCAATTTTATTTCTCTACCTCATAGTAGAAGTAAGTCAGATAAATCCGCTAATAGGCGGTATCCTTTAAAATGTAAAAGAAATTGTAGTGAATAATCATTGGTTTGCTTTGCCATTTTTTATTCGTACGAATATATTGTTGAATGTGAATCGAATTGATGTTATATAAAAAACGAATAAGAGGCATAAAGAAACATATCAACGCATAGAAATCAGAGACATATTACAGATAGAAGAAATAATTAATGAATCAGAGAGTGTACCGAAGCAACATAAAATGTGAGAAAGTTATATATTTCGATATGCTGTATTGTTAATAATCTTATATTAACATATTGTTATGAAAAATTAAAACCATTCATAATGTTAATCAATTTACAATTAAGGTAATTTCTGAAATCAGTAAAAAAATATAATTACTTGTTTAATATTGTATTGTAATTTTAATATTTTGTTAAATTGTACATATGTATATAAATATAGGGACGAACATACATACTTGACATCAACTTAAATCAACTTTATATTAATAAGTGTAAATTAGTGTAAATTGGAGCTTTCAACTTTTGATATATGTTCCATTGTACTAATGTATCAAGATGTATCCGTGTAATGTGTATTTGGAATATTACAACTGAAGACTAACACAAAGGATTACATTTTACAGTTTGTGTACCTATTTGTAGAGTAGCAATCATTTGTGGCTCTTTATTTTACGAACCATTTGCTTTTCTCTTAAATTCTATGTACTGAAGTACTGCGATAACATAAGAAATAGTCAACATGGAAAATCGACGAAAATGGTTGAGTACCATTTGGTCCATGATTGCTGTCTTTTGTCATCAGTCAGGTAAGATATCTTGCCGGATTATATATATCCTTATTTTGATTTGAGCACAATTCTATCCTGGATTAATATATTTTTAATTAAGACTTTATATATTTTACATTATGTCTTAGTTATTAATAATGAAATACTACATATTGAATATTACAAATCGGAATATATATTTGAAATATGAATGAATATTTTCAAATTGTTAGTAACTTATACAATGAATTTATTAATAATTTTAATCCATCAATTTTGAAAATTAAAATATTATGCGAATAAAGGGATAATAATTTTGTGAAGCTTTTTACTGTAAAAAATGAAATATTACATATCGTTAATATTCTTAAGAATCTCAAGTTTAAGTGAATAGAAGTATTTTTTTGCTTATTATTGGTTCATTTCATAGACAAAATGAATATAATTAGTAAATTTATTTTCAAAAATTGAAATCAAATTTAAATTTCTCTTTAAATAAAGTTGAGTATATCTCCATAAATTAGTATAAATTCCATATTTATTTCTATACAGATTTTTATGTATGGAATTCAATGTATTGTTAATATATCAATACTTCACTGATAAGAGAGTTTTATTATAAATAATATAAATATTAAAAACTTTCTAATAAAGTATTAGCTAAATATTGCATAAGATATATTAATTATTGAACATATCAATAATGATACAAAATAGTCAAAATATTAACAAAATTTAATGTCATTTATTCCACTAATGAACTATAAATTCTTTTATACTAATTACAAACCTATAAATATAAATTGTATTTTATAATTAAAAAGATTTACTGATATTAATTATGATACTACATATTATAACATTCTTTCACATTAAATCTTATATAATTTCTTTTAAAAAATAAAGTACGTATTGGAAAATATAACTTACTTAACAGTAGCTTTTCATTAAGTCATTGAATTTACTCGCTTTTATTTTACCAAATTTTTAAAAAACAAAAATCAAACAGATAATCTTTATATTTCATTGATACACTAATCGATAATTTGCACCGAAAACTTTAAATAATAGTGAATATTATTAATATTATTAATAATAGTTAACTTTTCTTCAAACCTTTACATAAGATAATACATATAATACTAAAGATTGAATGAATACTTTAAAAGTATTTTATAAATAATTTTTATAAATAGTCATTAAAAATAAAATAAAGTTAAACTTTTTATTTCAATTTTCATAATCACTCATAATTGTGCAATAGTTAATTATTAACAGCGACTATTTTAATATTCAAACTATAATATTAATAAAAGTATTTATTTATAATTATATCTGAAGGACTTGAATATATCATTAGTTTATAATAGTATTTAAATAATTATTATACAGATTCCTCGTGTCTCTCTACTTTTTTATATTATATTTTAGATAAATTTCTTATACTACTAATTATTTATGACCTGAATAAAGAAAATTATTTTGAATAAGTATATCACAAAAATATATGAACATCAATAAGTACTATAAAAATTTTTTTATCTATTATTGAATTTTATAAATATTCCTTTAGATAAGAGTGATTAACATAATAAATTATTAAAATAATTTTATTAATACATTATTTAAGTAATTGTTAAACTGCAATAGGTTACTACAGGTGAAATATTATCCTTATGGTATGTATATTCAATGGAATTAACTATAATGTGAATATTAAAAGTAATTATTAATTGGTTTAGTAGTGGAATAAATTAAAGTGGTATAAATTTTTTTAAGCTATCTGGTAAATTATTTATATATTACTCCTAGTATATTCATGCTATTTCTATGATAATATATCTCTTTGAAATTATGTAGATAATATTATTTAAAAATTTTTGTTATTGAATTGAACATGTTATATATAAACTAACAATAAGATTACAAAGAAAAATTATAAATCAATGATAATAAGATTTTGCTTTTCGAACTGTAATATTTTCTATTATTATAATAATTTTCTTTATTTTTATAAGCATACAGAATATATTTTATAATGGAATTTACTCGCATATTCTATTACATCAATTGAGTACAATTGAGTAACACGTCAATATTCTAATACTTTTTTTATTTGGAACTGTACTAAATACAAAATAGATTTTATATAATTAGAATTAAATGATATATTTAATATCTGCATTTGCAATCACTCGGTATATAATAAACAACTTTCCATTGATGATTGTGACTCAATATTAGAAAAGCTATGAGAATTTTATTGCATATGTTAAATTAATAATGGAAAATTAAGTTTTTTAATTCACATTTTTTATTAATAGTGTACAGAAGATTCAAATATATATACATATATATATATATATATATATATATATATATATATATATATATAATTTGTTAACGTATTGTATCTTTACTAGGTCGAGTAAAATACATTTACTTTTTTAAATACTGTAACTATTCAAGTTCAAATATCCACTTCTATTGAATTGACTCTATAAAGGGTAAAAATCTCAAGTTACCAAATGTAATTAAGAAAATCTGCTTTATTATTTCATAGAAATAAAATATTAACGAATTTTTGTCATTATAGTTACTGCATGCGTTTCATACATAAAAACCACTGGTTTTCTAATTATGCTTTTGTGACAAACTCCTTTCTATTCATTTTTAGTAATGTTTAATGTTTCTTTTATTATTGATGATTTTGGTAGAGTATTCGATTCCTCTTTTACAGATTATATTTGAAATCACTCAGGGGTTGGCTTAGGCTCATAATTTTTTATAAACAGAGTGAAAATATTTTACAAGAAAGGTATAATATTTTCAAAAAGCCCCACGGAAATCAATTTTTAATAATATATTCATCAAAAATGGTAGAAAATTTTTTTAACAACTGCAATATATAGTCACCTCTTTGGGATCGTTGAAAAGCATAATTTTGAATGAATCAATAGTGTTTCAACCTTGCACTTGGCTATCCTAATAAGTCATATTGTGCGAATTATAACTGATACTATATACATATCCTTTAAATTTTAGCCCAATTTCATTTATTTAGAACAATTAGTTAGAACAATAGAATGCTTAATTCTGAGCTTGATAGTATTAAATAAATAATTGTATAACACTTGATAATTTTTAGATTTTTCAGTAACACTGTACATGGAATATTCCACGTTTCATTCTAAACATTGTAATTAGAATTTTACATAAAATCATCTAATAAAAAAAAATATAGTTACTTAATAATAGTAAATATAATTAAAGTGTTTATATGTGTAAGTACACCCATTTATGCTATGTAGATGACTTAATAAAATTTTCTATAATAATATAGTTAAATAAATACATTAAATTACATCTTAAATCATAATATTTAGTATATAAAAAAATTTGACTTTTCATTTTTGTAAATTTATATAAAATTTTAATACAAAAAAAGATAATGGAATGATTTACTATATATAAATAACAATTTGAAATAATTTAATCAAATATTCTATTTCCTTACAATAATTATTTAAAAAATTTAACTTGTTTTCTGGTTCTTGAAATATTAATAGTTAAAAAATAGTTGAATGAAATATAATCAGTTCAAGATAACTTCAATTTAAGATAAGTCAAATCAAGATAAGTTCAAGATAAAAAAAAGGATCACATGCTCCTATAAAAATATTTGATCTCTAATTATATATAATTTAAAAATGTAAAGCAAATTCTTTTATACATTTTAAGTATTTTATAAAATTTCTTTATACATTACGGCTATTGAAACTTTAGGCATCTGAAATATTTTTATTAAATAAAAAAATGTAATAAAATACTTCAATGTAGTCCTTAGCTGAATTGTAACATATGTATTATTCTTTCATATAAAACACAGATAGTTTAACTGTAATTATTACAAACAATTAGTAGAAGGTCAAAATAAAAAGATACAATAAGCTCGAACATAATATGTAAAATAAATGACAAATTTTCTAAATAAGGGAATCTGAAATTAAAAAGAAGTAAGCACTTATAAATATATTATTATATAATTCTTTATCATTCGTACTCAATTTGCATATAATGCTCAGTTGTCATTTCGATATTTTTCTGCTCTCACTCTTCCTCTTATACCCAATATGAGAATATATTTATATTCGAAACCTCGCTTCATATCGATCGTTACGTAGTAACAATTCGTAGTCGCTCGTCCGTCGATCAACTTCATCGAACTACACGTATAACTTTAAATCTATGTAACGCGAGATCATGCGAAAGTGTAAAATAGTTTTAACGAGAATATTATTGACAATTGAAATAATAATGATATATGCAGATATACGTAAAATAACTTGTGGGAAATCTAAATACATTATTTATTGAATTTTAGAATTGTAAATGTATTTGATGAGATAGAATTTCGAAAATGACTACATATTAAAAAATCAGTCATATGATTCGGAACAAAAATTAAAACATACATAATAAATTTATATTCAAAATTTCATTGTAAATAGCAATGAAATTATTAGAACTTTCGACACATACATTTTTTTAATTTATTCTCAATAAAAACTGATGTTTAATTCCTTGTTTCAACAATGCTATTTCAAGTTCTATAAATTAAATTTGCAGTTTTTCTTGGAATATAAATAAAAATTAATGTATATTCACTTTTATTTTATAATATTATTAGTATTATTTACACAATAATTTATTTACGCTTTCTAATACGTTTTAATTATTTTATGTTATTTGAAACCATCAACCTTTTTTATATTTTACTATATGTAAATATAGTAAACATGCATCCATTGGTTACCGTAAAAAATTTGCAAATAATTATTATCAATGTTTAAAATAGGCAAAGATTAAAATTAAATTAAAAAAATAACTGTCATTTATCAATATTTTACAACTTATAAATTCAGTTCTGTTTCCTGTGTACACGTGTTTTCTGTATTTTAACTTTTTTTCTCTTAATATTTTGATTTAATAAAACTATCCTTAAAAAACCCTGACATTCTGAAGGTTTATAAAGTTAT